GTTAGTTGTGATAGAGCAGAACGTTCAAAGCAAACTTTGACATTCTTTGGTTCTTAAAAGTATCATCATCAGCCCTATTCTACACAAAGATAGCATACTTCATTGGCAGCGTAACACAAAAGAAGGACTCAAGAACACATAGCTATGAATATTGCGACGAGTTCTTCCTGACACAGACATGTTTCATGGCAGAGCCAATCTTTACATTTACCTTGTTCATGATCACGCCTCCGTCTTTTCCCACGGAAAAGTTGTCTCAGCTTGTTCATCGGAATAGCTCAGACTTCAACTGCGTAAAACACGGATCAAATAAAAAAAATTGATTTTTTTCCTCGTCAGATATACTACTTGATCCCAAGAGCGGAAATCGATGGATGCGTCAGAACATACCGGAACACTCCAGATTGAAGCCCAAAAACGTTACGAATCGAGACTAGAACCCACTCCCTTTCCTATTTAATTTATGCGTGGCGTGACTAAAATCGGAAGAAGTCAAACCGAAAGAAATACAATTCGAAAAGGGGAAGGGGAGGGAAGGGAATTAAACGGAATCTAAAAACATCCCGAACGATTAACAATTCTTCAGCTTCGTATCAGTGGCTAGTAGTGGATATTTACCCGACCTGCGAAGCTAACAACGGCATTGCATATTACTATTCAACTTGAAGTATTCGAAATTTACTTATTTTGAAGTATTTCATTCCAAATTTAGGCTCTAGTAGCACGGTAAATTAAAGTTCTGTGTTTCCTGTTTTGTTAAAAATTGTCGGATCTGCCCCTAGGAACAACTTGAATCGCTTTCCATCTTGGGCATTCACTTCAGAAGAAACACCAATCGCATAATCTTTCATGAAAAAAAATGGAAAGAGCCAAATCGGCCCCAAAAGCTAAGTCGGCACACCCAAAAGTATAGTATAACCCAGCATTTTTGTATTTTTCCACTCTTTCTATGATCTTATTTAGTAGGCTGTGCTTTAAGGTGGCACACCCAAAAGTGCAGTATAACCCAGCATTTTTGTGTTTTTACACTCTTTCTATGATCTTATTTAGTAGGCTGTACTTTAAGGTGGCACACCCAAAAGTGCAGTGTAACCCAGCATTTTCACACTCTTGCTATGATTGTAGTAAATAGCCTGTACTTTAAGGTGGCACACCCAAAAGTGTAGTATAGCCCAGCATTTCCGTATTTTTAAACTCTTTGTATGATCGTAGTCAGAAGTCTGTAATTCAGCAATCTTCCTTGGGAGAGGGCAATAATAAATATTATCTGTGGTAGATGTTTATTAACTTTTCACCCTTTGCAGCGAAAAGTTCTAAGTGTAGTTTAATTTGTAGAAAAATAGTGAATTAATAAATAAATTTCAGGAATCTACAAATTGTAAGCCACTGAAGAAGTAATATTTTGATACTACTCTTGTGTCATTCAGTATTTTTAAATTTGTATGGAGGGGGGTGTGTGCTTATTAAATGTTTCGATCAGGTGTTTTTTAATGAAAATTTTTTCTTCGTTTAAATTTCAGAAATAAAAAGCTGGACATCCTTCTTAGTGATAAACAAGGTTCTGCGGAATCGTGGGGGTAGGAAGAAAGGGACCCAAGAGGAAGCAGTCAGTGTTGTAGAGGTAGGAAACTTGGCAATAAAGTAATCAAACTCACAAATTATTCATAAGAGGAAATCACATTCGTGAGAGTTGTTTGTAGATTGGATTCTAATTACCAAAACATTCTGCAAATTTCATCGTTGACCTTTGTGCTTTGTCCAAAATCCACTCTCCAAAATCCAGACTCATTTTAGACTCATACTTTAGCCCATGATTGTTTCTGATATTAAGGTATGAAAATGCCACAGGATCAACAGCGATAACATAATTACAACAAGCAAAATAAAGTACATTTCACATGTATACTTGTAACCTGAAATGAAATATCACATTACTTCCAGAAAGTGCCCTAAGCTTTAATAATTAAACTATTTCTCAAGTGCTCATTAACTTTTTCTACCTTTAGGGCAGGTGCTCACTCCAAAAAATCTGAGCCATATTTTTTTTAAACAAAATCCTGATTGACAAAATTATCAACAAAGCAATACGGCAGGTGAATATTACTTAAAACTTGCTTAACCCATTCGCCCCTGAACCGCCGGGGCAGATCCACATCTTTTCTATCCCTTGCCACATCAATTTTAATAGTCAAGGAAAACTTTGTCTCCCTGTTGGTGCAGAGTGAAGTGATCTTTCAAACTATACCAGAGTGAGCACAACTGAATCAAAGACACTGGAGAAACAGCCACAAAAACATGTCGTATCATTGGCATGAAATCTCCATGAAAATCTTGTTCCACTCCCCACCTCCTTTTCTGGGCATCTAATTCTAAGATGCTGAAAGCTTTCCCAATGCTCTTCCCACCAAAATGAAGGGAAAAAAGGTATGAGAGAAAGTGAAAAGCAACAATCAAGACCGCTGTGCTACTTTTAAACCCCAAAACTATCTAGAAATTTTGTTTTCTGGATATGCCTGAACTTTCGTAAGCAAATATTTTGTATCTGGATCAGAAGCCCATGGAGTGTACAACCTGTTAATGGGTTTTTGGTAGGTTTTACCTCCTAATAGCACTGACCAGAAGACCCCTTCACCAGTTCAGTAAAATCTCCAGGAGCAAATGGGTTTATGTGTGGTAATAAACATTTGCTATCATCTCTAAAATTGCAACATGTCTTTTGTTTTGCAAAGGGATGCAGATGTTGACGAAACAATAAGAGGATTTGTCCAACCCCAGATTGTAACTGTTGGAGATATTTTTTAAGTAGATCTTAAGCACATTGTGGCAGAGGGAGGAGTTATTTGCCAACTTTCCCAGAAGTCAATATTAGACGCTCTCCTTGGATTGCAGGGGAGCTTTTATATTTTTAATGTTGCATACAATCAGAGTAAAGCAATCCTAACTTTCCTGGTGCAGACTTTGCTGGAAATTGGACAAGGGCAGACCCTTGTCACTGTGTCATCATTTTTTAATGACTTAGGAAATGCGTGAATGTTCAAACATCTTACTTGTTTGTATTGAATCCTGCTTGTTTGGTGCATTTGTATTTCAGTAGTTCTCTTTATTTGTTTTCGTTTTTCATGAGTATGTATAGTATTGGTCACAATACACTTATTTATATAAGTGAGTAAATTTTGCATATAAGCCTTAGTTTGGTTTCATTGTCTCTCAATACCTAATTAAGGGAAGAAATCTGTAGCCCCCACCCAATTGACAAAAAAATACAATGGCCCAATATGGAGCTGAATCGGCTACTTTTCGAGGGGTCGTTTTTAAGAGGGCCAAAATTTGAGGGGGCCGTTTTGACTCCTGGAAATTCCAAGTTGGCACTAATGTTTTCCATATTTGCCCTTTACACGGTCCAATTTGGCCCCAATACAAGGGTCAATTTAGCCCCAAATTTTGGTACCAAAACGGCCCCATCTCAATGGGGCTGAATTGGCCCCAAAAACAGTACCGTTCTGGACTCACCCGTTTTGGCCCCATTTTTGGGGCCGAAATGGCTCTTTTCAATTTACAGCGCACCCTTTAAGTCTTCCTTCTAGCCTTTCCTTCACCTTTCGTTACACGTGTTGTAATGAAGAAGAGACTAGTTGTTGGGGACAATTTGCAGAGATATTTTGACGCGTAGTTGTAGAATAATATAAAAGCTTTAATTATGATCATTCTCGTGATTGTTGACAACCTCGGGCCCTACAGCCTCCAAGTACATACATTTCCACCATTTGTGACATTTGTGTTGTCCTGAATTATCTACGCCTACGGTAAAAAACTGGACGAAAGAAAAAACTTAAATTAACAACTGATCCGGATAAAAGGAAATTATAAATTTCCTTGAATTGAAAGAAAAGTTTATTTTAATTGCTTCCGCATGTATTTCTGACGGTTTTAGATCTACCTGCTCGATTTATATCTGAAACGCTTCGTGTTGATAAGTCCCTTAAAATGGCGGCCATAGTCGGAGATTTCCGAAAATCAGGTAAGTTGGCGGAGTTATAAAGTTTTCGCAAAGGTCGGGCCGCAAAGTTTTTTTCTGTAGTGACCTTTTCTATGGCATCTGCTTCCTGGCTATGTTAGCTGGATCAGTTAAGAACGCCTCACTTTTTCAAAAATTTACCTTGAATTTGATCGGTTTTCGCGTGTGTGACTTGAGCGAACCGATAAGGTGTCATTAAAGTCTTCCTGTTTCCTTGATTGAAATGTGATGTTCAAGAAGGTCACCTCAATGGATAAGATATAGTTAATATACATGGCTGTGGTATTTTGTTTTTGCTGAGTTCCGTAGTTTTTTTTTTTTAATTTTCCTCCAAAGTTGTCTCAAATTAAAGTCTTTAAAAGTGTCACGACAGGCCTTCGCTCGAGTGAAATTTAATTTCCGTAAAACTCTGAAAAATAGAGATCCGATCAAACGGATTGTGGTTTTAGTATAGGCACATGAATGTCTTACAACACACAAGAAATGAGGGAAATCTGTGTCTCAAGCAAAATCGACCGGACCGCTTTTACAGACACTCTCTTAATGATCACGCCTCCGTTATTTCCCACGAAAAAGAAGTCTCCGTCTGTCCATCGGAAATGCTCAAACTTTAGCTGCGTAAAACACGGATCAAATCAAAGTATTTTATGTCCTTTCTCGTCAGATATATTTTAACGCCCTAACTTGACAGACGAAAAGGCATTATACTAGAAGAAAGAGGACTCTTTTGCGAAGTTATAAAAGCGGAAGATTTTTTTAACAAATTAAAAGAAGGCTAATTTTCTAAAGTAACCTCGGCGCAGCTCGATGAAGGGGAGGATACAAGATAATGTAACTTTGCCTCGGCAGAGGGATTCCAAAGCTGAGGTTTAGCCCTTTTACTTCTATTAAGGACTAACGTTCAAAATATCATCTCAGATGATAAAACCAAATTATACTATTTCAAGGTCTCTCTCTAGTTAAAGACGCAAAATATAATTCTAAATTTGGTTTGACAGCCATTTATATCATTTAATGTCATTACAAAGTTATGTGAATGCCTCTGCAGTTTCGAATATTACACAAAATAAGTATAAAACTAAATTCTATCAAAAATGATTCGTCTTTTTCTTTAGCTGTTTTAGAGACACTAAGCAGAACGAAATGACCCTCATTAGATATATAATGGAAAGCTGTTCTATGATACTACCATTTCAAACTCAAATCAGTTGAATGTCGTCGTTGCGTATAAAAATACCTGCCTAAGTTCGGTTGTTCAAGAGACGATGTCGGGGAATAAGTTAGTTGCTCATTAATAATAAGTCAAATATTAATCGTAAAAGGAATTAGTTAAATGATTACGTAATAGATTGCATCGATTCTCAGTAAATTGAACTTAGTGCACAGTTTATCAGCTGATGTACTTTGCACGCGCTAATTGAACCAAATAAGGAAGGGATCATGTGAATTAGGCTTGATATATCGTACGATAGTTATATTACTGTAAGCTGTGCATGTGATAGATTATAGCACTGTATTGTGTAAGACAGCAGAAAAACTGAAGTGCACGTACACTGTAATAGAACCCTTGAGAGGTAGAAGAAAAAACTCCGTGTTAAAATAGAACGTAGACAGTGTGATAGATATAGTCCTCAGTTGAACCAGCGAGCGGAACAAAAATTCCGCATCAGACGATAAATGTTAAAGAAATGTAACTACCAGTTCGACCGGTCAACTTGTTTTTGAAACTTTTTCATATGTAATCTAAACCTCAAACGTCACAATCTCAATTCTTGAAAAATTGCTTATTAATGGATGAAATTTAGTTGATATATGGTTCCTAATGCAATATCATCCGCCTGACTCTAGCCCAAGTAACTCAAACTTACAAGGCCACGCTAAACCAGGATGCTTAGCGGGGGTATTTAGAGAGAAAACGAGCAGCGAGTTTCTAGAGGCCCTACTACACAGCATTTCGGAGGAAAGTCGAATAGAAAGGTCCTCTCAGCACTTGGGTCGTTTATATTCGATTGCAAACCTAAACCCATGTAAGTTTTTGAGTGACCTTTTTTGTCTGTTCCACAGAGAAAGAGCGTCATCAATATACCTCTCTCAAAGTAGCGATTTAGTTGTGCTCTGTGTGATAATACCCTTTTCTTTTTTGCCATGACACTATTGGCAAAGCCACTGCCGTTGCGGTCTTCTTTGCCGTTTCCGTTCATTTTGTGAGAAAAAAGTATCAAGTTACCAGACAATAACAATAACAATGGCGTGCAAAGCATACTGGTTGAGCGCGGCCCTTTAAAGAAATTTTCCAAGAGATAGATTTTCATTTGTAGTACCGTTCGTTACTACGACGACCAACTGCTCATTGATGTTCAGTTTCCCCTCAATTACGAGCACGCGCAATTCTATCATTTATTTTACAGTCACGAGCGTGGGACAAAGAAGAAATACTGAGTCCCCATGAGGAATCGAAACTCAGACCTTCGGATTCTGCGCTCCGATGCTCTGCCACTGAGCCACAGAGACTGTATGATGAGCAAGGCCTATTACGAAGTTCAAAGATGACACGCGTCCTGCGTGCTGCTAGGATCAGCAATGTTTTCCGTCTTGTCACGAGCGTGGGACAAGGAAAAAAATCTGAGTCCCCATGAGGGACAAGACGAAAAACATCTTTCTATATTTCTTTACTGAACTCAAAATTTACCATCCTTCTCATTCTTTACGTCTTTTTGCTAAAAAATCACGAGAGGATTTATTTCAACAATCCCTATGGTTTAGGTTACTTTTTTTTCGCATTCCCTCCAGCAAGTGTTAACAAGCCAATCTTCCTAGCACTACATTTGCAAATGACCGTCCAACAGAGGAATCTTGATATTCGGGCTTCTTAGATACTGTAATTTCAATTCGTTCATTCGTTTAATTGTTAAGATGCAGGGCCCTTATGGCTATAAGCGTTTGAGCTAAATGGGCACTCCTTTTGAAATAAAGTTGCACTTTACTTAAAACAGGCATTGCCCAGTAGAAAAATTAGTTATACTGCACATTTAAAAGTACAGCATGAAACTATTTTACTTTTCAGAAACCTCGGTCCATAAGCTTACGTCAAAACTACGTTGAAAATAGAAGCAGGTTAACTTCTTCTTGGTTTTCTTAACGAGCGCAACGGAAATCTCCATTTTTCTTAATATATCAATGCAATTCTGCTTATACCCCTACGAACGAAAGGATTCAAAGTTGGTGTGAGCCTATCCTGTTCTAAAACTTGTACAACTCGTAACTCTTAAAACTCGTAACTCAATTAACTGACCAATTCGATATTTAGAGAAGTCGTTTCATGACAAAGAAAATCAATAATTCAGACAACAACTATTACCCTCTCTTCTCTAAAGCAAATCTGCTAACATTGGGAAGCCACATTCTACAAGCATGTCGTACAATTCTCCTACACTATGAATATAGCCTCGCTCACGGGCATACCCCAAGGCGGCCTCACAAGGGTTTAATAGTCGCTTGTCGAAAAAAAGGATTTCCATCAGACTCAAACCCAGTCGCTCTGCTAATAACTTCCATTCATTTCCACCTGAAATTCCAAGGAACAATTTATATAATCAGAGTATGTAATTCCAAACTGTTTCATACTTCACAGGAAACATACCTTACATGCAGTGAACAAATGCTGCCTTTTAAGATTCGGTATAATCATTGTTACTACAAATGTTATTGATGTTGTCATCGTGATTGTTATCATTATTATCTCATTTTATTTCAGGTCATGCTGTGTAATTGTTATGATTAAACTTTAACAAATTAGTGTTGTTATTATTGCTATTGACTGGTTACAAACCAATACGTAAAAGGTTTGATTTTGCTTTAAATTGCCCCGTGATTGGTCCAGAAAAACTCGTGCTACTAAATACAATCCAAAATCAAAAGCATTCGCGACTCATTTATGAACTTTCCATCCCACGCTTCAGGCAGTTTGTGTGTTTTAGTTTTTTCACTGAGGTCTCTTACACTATTGCTCTTTAGCTCAAATTGTCCAAAGTGATTTCTGTGATTTAAGACGCGCGATTGCAATGTTCAATCGTAATAAATCTTCCCTTGAAATTCTTATTGCTTGAAGCCACTACATAAGACTACTTACCACACAAATGAATCGTCAAATTTTGCCTCTGGCGAGCGGGAATAGTCGCCACGTCACGAGCTTCAGGTAACAAAGGACCTAAGTAATGTATAGGAAATACATCTTTGGAATAGAACGAGAGTGCAGTTAAGTCAGTCTCGCCTTTATTTGAATGGCACGGATAATTCCCCAAAGCAATACACAAATGGAGCAGACGAAACATAAAGTGAAAGTGGAAAAAAAAATCGATCACTCAAAGGAATGCCAATCACTTAGCTGTTTGCTAATCACCGGCGGATGACTTGTAGTGTGTCGTCTGGTTTTTCTACTGTGTGACTCGATACAATGATTCTCTCTAGCTGTCTACATTCAGCAGATTTCAAATCATCATACCTGTTGTGCCAGCAGGTGCAATCTCCCGTAACCTTTCCACTACATCAAGTCTCCCTAGAGATTTCGCCCGTAAACACAGGCAGCGAATCTGGCGCTTAGTCTCTGAGTCTGGCTCTATCAGTGCTTTGTGTTCCAATGAGAGATTTTCTTGTACTTTAGCAATGACATGATTAGCATCGGACTTCTCTAACAGCACTTCATTAGGGAGAACAAGGGCTTGCTCGTCAACACCTGTTGAAAGTAAAACAAAAAGATATGAACTCCTTGCTGTCAGACTAAGAAATTGAGAGGAAGATGCTCGGTGTAAAAGGATACTGAACGCAAAAAGTTTTAGAGGGAGGAAAAGGCAAACTTCGTTTCTTGTCCTAAATTTCTGACTATAAAAAGAAATCTTTAAAAGAGACAGTTATAAAGAAATAGTCAGACGATGAGAAAAATTTAGTTTCTCTCTGTAATAGATAAATACAAATGCAATAATTTAATATCCAAGAATATTCCTTTCTGCAACAAACCACGAATATCGACTATAATTGCTCTTTGAGCTGACGAAATATCACTGGCCAGAATCAGTAACTAATGACGGCGCCCTTATTTTTAGGGTATGCCTGAGAGGCCCCTTTATTCCTGCGATGCGTGTGTATTTCCCAAGGGACCAATAATCGGATTAAATAAAGGGAGAACCAATGACGGTAAAGCTTCTTGGTCTCTTGGGAGTTCTGGAAGCCAGTTTGTACAAAGTAAACGGAAGAATGAGAAACTTTAAGAATTAGTTCTTATTAACCGAGCGGGAGGTCTATATGGGAGAATCTTGACCGAGGTCGCCAGTACAGACTAAACGCAGTGGGGTCTGTTCCAGTGACCGAGGTCAAGATTCTCCCATACAGACCGACCTAGCTCGGTTAATAAGATGTTTATTATATGGCTGTGTCTTAGATGGGAAAATCTAGACCGCTTTTAATATTGATTTCAGCCAATCAAATTCGTGAATTCGGTAGTACCCAATCCTTGTGAGACACAACCATATAATAAACTGGTTTTATTGACCAAACCAGAATCACTGCTTTTCCAAGTTAAGGCTGTTCACCTGTTTGACGCATCTAAAATTCCCCGTGCTTGAAAAGTGCAAGCATCGCAGAGGTGGACGAAAGTCAGGGGAGTTGGAAAAGTGGATTTGGTAGCGATTTGACGCAGATATTGTGTGATTTCTTTCAATCTCCCCCTTTTGAAAACCAATTGGCTAAGGAAAGCTCTTTTTTATTGCAAATTACGACAAAATTGCCGGTAGCGATTATTTTCAAGTCAACTTTTGCTCGGAAAAAATCTGAGTTTTCTACGAGAAAAAGTTTCAAAGTGAGATACGGCGAATCATGAGTCGTCTGATAAAACTATTTGTTCGTGCGCGCGCAGAGATCTAGGTCGTGTCAAGTTCGATGCAAAATCAAACTGCTTTAAAGTTTCAAGGCTAAGCCTGGGTGTTTTGCCTCTTTCCAGTTATACTTTAACAAGCGCCACAAAGATTTCTAAAACATAATTTTAAAATTCAAATGATGTTTCTGTTAAACATTCAATTCAGTATCTAGGCCCAAGACTCTGAAGCAAGTTATCAAATAAAGAAAGATCGGCTGTCAGTCTCAAGCAGTTCAAGACCCAGATACGCAGGTTTGATTTAAGTAGTGGCTGCAATCTTTGCCATTCATAATTGTAATTTTTCTTACCAGATTTTTCAGTATATCATTTGTATATTTTATTCAGAACTATGTTATTTATTATTTCTTTCTATTTCGATCATATATTCATTTTAGACAGTCAGTTCTAGTTATGTTTCCCCTATTAGCATTGGGGATTCTCCTACGCTAGATTTAACTGACACAATAATAAAGTCCTTATCATTATTATTATTATTACTATTATTGTTATTATGCGCGTCTTTATTTTCGTTTTTATCGGTGATTTTATCTCAAGCGGTTGTTTATATAAGCAAAAAAGCCTAGATAGCCTGCCGATAAGTGGACCAGCTTAAATTCCCTCAGATGATGACATTTTGGAAAATCACCGGGTCAGTCTCCAAGACAGCAAAACAGTCGGCTATCTTCTTAAAATCAGTAAAGCGACTACTCGCGCTAAATACTTTATATTTTAATATATATATAAAAAAAGTATTTGTCGCCTGACGGATCTGATTTCCTGCAGAGCACACTCTGTTCCAAAGGATCGTGCGTGGGGTACACATTGATTTTGAAACGCATTCTTTAAGAACAGAAAGGGTCAGACATCTAACTAAATTGCCTCCTCATTCCGCGGTTTTGCAACAAAAACGATGTCTAAACTTTGGGTTATCGGTCACACTAATGTGCATGAATAGTAAACAAACAAGCACTTGATAATCGCCTCTCTGTGACGTTTAATATACCGTGTGCTGGGGCGGATCCAGGATTTAGTCAAGGGGGGTTTGGAGAATTGTTCCCCTTCTGAGGGGTTCAAAATTTTGAAAATTAGGTCTTCGGAAACATGATTTCTAGCGTTCTGAGGGAATATTTAGGGGGTTCGACCGAACCACCCGAACCACCCCTGGATCCGCCCTAGGTGTGGCACAAAATATTTGCGGTGATTTTTCGTGTTTTGTGGGCAACACACTTAAAAACGTTCAATCAACGAATAAATAGGTACCTTTTGCTCATCATTACAATCACGTTTTTTCTCTCCGCATTCCCATTTGACTCTAGTTTTCTAGCAAAAAAACTACTGGTTAAAACTACAATGGGTTTACCTTCAATCATATTCCCAAGATACACATCAGCTGTAGAGCCAAGTCCTTCAACATCTTGCTGTTGAAAATGGGAGAATTTTTGTGTCACTAAAAGATAATACATCACTCCCTGAAAATACGTCTTTGACGCTTTCCAAATTATAACTTAGACATGTATTCCACTCTAACGCAGCCCAGTAGTCAAAAGATATCATGAAGTGATATTTTTCACCATCGTTCTTGTATTTATTGAGATATTTAGTTTGTTTCTCTTAAGGCATGTCCATCTCAATCACTACATCAAGATGAAGAAACCCGACATTTTTAACGGAAGAGAGCCTTATTTTGAGCACCCAGTGACTACAGAAAAACACTGAAATCCATTACAATATTTTTACTTTTTCGACCACAAACAATTTTAGTCTAAAACTTTCAGTATGTCTATATTAGCCGAAACGTTGCTGCCCCAAAAATAAGAGGCCTCAAAGATCAATTATCTCGCAGACCAATTATTTGCCTCAGCCTTCGGCTTCGTCAAATAATTGATCTGCTCGCCACGGACAAATCCCGATATTTTGCTCAACCTCGTCCAATAAATGTTATATCATTCGATCACCGAGTTTGTTTTCAATTTTTTGGGGGAAGCAGCAAGCGCACACTGCTGCCAGAAATCAAATGGTTTCAGAATTCAAATGATTTCCTTCTCATGGTTACTACTGCGCATGAGCAGAATATTATTTGCAACAAAAACGGAGTTAGACGTTAGTACGCATGAGCAGACCATTATTTGTAAGCAGTTCTTTGCAGGTCACGTGGTGGGCTCCCACCCAATGAAAATGGGGGAAAAATCAATCGAATGATAATTTCATTTACCTGTTTGCGAAACCAAACCCCCATACGTGCGACAGGAACTCTATAGTCGTCAACAACACCAGACCTCGTACATAAGAGGGGCTCCTGAACGTCACGCAACTCAGACTCAGACCAGAAATGCAAACACTTCTCTTCCTTGCAACGACGCACATTATGATTGCAGCAGTGGCTTGCAAACTCTCGTGTACAACAAACTGGGCAACACACTGACATTTCGTACGCCATATTCTTCAACCAATGGAACTCTCCTCGCATGCATTCAAGAATCAAACCTAGCTTACAACACACCTTTTTAGCAACAGCTACCTGGAAGTCGTCGTAATTTGTTTCTCCAAATGACTTAATAGTTTTCTTGTGAACGACAACCTCTACGAAAGAGGAACGGCATAAAAGGATTACAGAACAGCCTTGTTCTGGGTCAATAAAGAATCTTGCAAAGTTTTGGTGTAGTTTAGGCTGCACCTTGCTGCGAAAGTAGTCGGTGAACCACTGAAAGATATCCAGCACCAGGCGAGGGAACAAGCCGGGGGGAACTCGGCCGGATGCAAACTTAACAAATAGGGATGGGATACCTGAAGAGGCGATGAGCTGATTGATGTCCTCCTTGGGTGGAAACATCAACATGGAAGGTACAAGGTATTCTTTGGATAAGTTTTTGTCTGACGAAGAAGGCCAGGGACACAGCAAACAGAACTTCTTCATCAACGCCACAAGGCTGGACGATGTTTCATTTACATCAAAAAATGGGCGCCACACATGCTGTAATAGTCTCTCATCCAAAATTCCCGTTGTCTCAAGCTTTAACCACAATTCCTCGAATTTCTTTCCTTTCTTCTCCGAAGGTTTAATGGCAATGACTTTTTTGAAGATGTCTATCAACCACTGGGGATCCAAGATAACAATCTTCTTCAAATCTGGAGTGTCATCGAAATGAATTAAACTTCTCTGGTCGTGTAGAAAGGTCAGTAATACCTGAAACTGATCTTCACTCAAAATTCCACATTCTTCTTTTGCAATTCTCCAAGCTTCGTCGTAATAAATCCACTTTACTTCATCTTGAAGCATGCCCTGTAAGGCCTTCTCATACTTTAACCATTTGATCGGTAAAGCCTCTTTCATTTGTGGCAGGTTCTTTACAACATTATGAACCTCTTCCCTCAGACGTGTAACACCAGCACATTCCTTTTCTTCACCACCGGACTTCGTATTATCCACAACGAAGTAGCCTTGCAAATGCTCGCCGTAGCATTCAGCCTTTAAAGATGAAAACAATTCTTGAGCTATCTCCTCAGGATCTTTATTCTTGTAGGCCTTGTCAGCGTGCGTGCAAACAAGAAAAACTAGAGGCATCCTTTCTGACGTCGTAGATGTAGCTGCTCCCTGTACGACTTCGTCTTGAGATACTAAGGTAGACACAGAGGACATCCAAAAATCGAGATAATCCTTGTTAGTTTTATCGCAAAAACCATCTTGAATATTGAAAACACCTTGCCTTACTCGATGGCTGGCCACTTCATCAGGATCCCAACTTAGGTTGTAAACCAAAAAATAAATTGCTCTCACGGTAAGGAACATGGAGTGAGTGACGTAATAGACTGACTGTCCACCAAAATCCCACAGGACGGAATAGATTCTATCGTCATCTTTCTTGCTGTCGTCCATTTTAAGCAGCTTCTCAATCAATGTTGATACCTCTTCTGGTACCTGCTGGCTTTGCATTCTTGAAATCTCAGATACATCTGGTTTGCTGGACGTCTTTGGTACTTCTGATATGTCTCCCTTTCCTGCTTCTCCTTGTGCTGAGTAAAGATTGTCATGTGAGACTGCGGCACACAAAGTCATGTCTTCTGAGTTGCGTTCTTTTCTTTCTCGTTTGAGGCGATCCAAAATATACTGAGCGGTGCTGTGTTCATACGAAAACGGCAATGCATTGGAACTCTCCTCTTCGGATCGCTCACCTACTTTCCAAACCTCCGTTGATACGTTACAGTAGGAGGGATCCGCCTCTATCCCTGCGGTACTTCTTTCGTATGGATCGAATTTCTCTCCTATAAGTGACTTTTTTAAACTGGTTTTTCCTGCCTGGCCTTGTCCTATAAACATCATGGGCACTCTCTTCACAGTTGTCTTTCCCTCCTCAAGGGCTCTGTGGTAAGCGTGTTGGATCAGGGATCCACGAGCAAGAATCTCTAGAGGAACTACATGTAAATAAATTATCACACACCTGGTTAATTGAAGTATAAAGTTTTTGACTATTGACAATAACTACTGAAAAGATATAACACTCTTTTGACGCTACAATTTCTGGTATTTGGGAGAAATCTTCCGGGTATTTATCACAAATCTTTCTCTTTCCCTTTTTACAGCAGTCACATGGTTTGATTGGCAAAAATGTGGAGAATAGTAATTAACAGTAAAAGAGTAAATAATCACTGTCTTTAAACCAGAACTACTATCATTTACGTTTTTTGTAAGTTATATTAGAGCTACATATTGTCTCTGATTCATTTGAACATACCTTTTCCACCATTTTGATCGCTGCTGCTACTTTGCCTGAAACTATCTTGTTCACTACAAATGTAGGAAAAAAACAGGCAGTTTTTTAGCTGTCAAAATTTCTACGAACCCCACCTTCCAGTTAGATAATGCACTAGTGAAAAAGAAATGATTACGGCAATTAATACGGGGATTTGAGACAAGGGTAATGGTAATGAAAATGAGAACAGAAACAGTGACAATCAATTATAGGGTAGCGCCTGAAAATGATATAATTGACTGAGACTGTCAGTGGTTTTCATGGAGAAATTAAAGTAACAGTGGCGATACGGTTAATCAGTAACAATTGTGGAGTAAAATTATCTACCTCTCGGTGCCAGGAGGAATCCCACAGTCATCACTGGGAATCTGAAATAAATATTCGTATGCGGAGCATCGCGAGCACTCAATTATTTTACTTAAGAAAAGGCTTTTTTTCTCATTTCAGGTCCCAAAAAGCATATTAACGGATACTTGAATCTCCCAAAGAGCATGAGTCCTAAGTCGTCCACACACACCTGTGGAGAATTAGTGAGGAGCCCACACTGTCACCTTTCTTCCAGAATTTATTTCTCAAAAAAGCAGGCAGAATCACGTTACGCAAAGTCTCTGACCGACTAAAAAACTACTCACAAAGATTTTCTTATCTCATGAACACACCTTGATCAAAACGTAAGTCGATTGGCTATAAAGTTCTTCCCAACAAAGATAAACAAACTGATTTATCGGAGCGGACAGATCGTGACACTCGATTTCCGTCAGATAATTTTAAATCGTTACAATACTAATTATCCTGTTTCCGACACACCTGAACCTTGCAAAAAAGTCGGGGCCGCCCAAAATCGAGTGCCGTTTACTGTAGTGGCAATGCCCTCAACAGGGTGACTTCTAGAATTAGGCACCATGATATCTTCTCTCATGAAAAGATGTTGTTTTAATTTTTGTTGGCTCTTGAAACGAGCGCCGTTCTAATCGGACTTCGTCAAAAACTGGGGTCGCTCAATCGCGTCTTCCAAAAGAGGACAACATTAATGAATCATCCCCCAATTTAACACATGAATACCTGATATCTTTCAAGGCTTACTCTCTTTGGATGAATGGCAGTTGAGTCGTCTTCGTTTGCGAAAGCAGGAGGAGGAGGAAGAATCTCGCAGTCATCACGGGGAATCTGAAATAAATTTTCGTATGCTGAGCTTCACAAGCACTCAATTATTTTACTTCACTGGGTTTTTTTTTTTTCTATCAACGTGCAAAGATCTCAAAAGCATATAACGGACACTTGAATCTCCCAAAGAGCACGACGGCATGATGCTTGGAGTATTGAGTCCACCACACACCTGAACCTTGCAAAATAGTCAGGGCCGCCCAAAATTGAGTGCCGTTTACTGAAGTGGCAATCCCCTTAATAGGGTGACTAGAATTAGGCACCATGATATTTCCTCTGATGACCAGGCATTGTTTTATTTTTTGTTGGCTCTTGAACGAGCGCCGTTCTAATCGGACTTCGTCAAAAACTGGGGTCGCACAATCGCGTCTTACAAAAGAGGACAATGTTAATGAATCATCCCCTAGTTCTACACAAGAATACCTCATGTCTTTCAAGGCTTGCTCTCTTTTGATGTATGGCAGCAAAGTCGTCTACGTAAGCGTTGAGGTGTTCACATTCTACGATTGCATTAACAAGATCCTCAAGGTTTCCAAATTCCTTATCGCCTATGAAAAAATGAATTATACTGTACTTCTGTCTCGCCGTGAAATGTAATCCTTCATTCCTAGCGCACAATAAAGACCGGTTAAAAAAGTCAGAGGTCTACTTTAAAATCCGCATTCAAGTAGGATATTGGTGAAGATAGGGAAGGCCGGGCTACAACAAAGAAAGTTCTCAAAATAGAAAACAATTAGGAAGGGTTGGACCTTGTCTTTGTTATGGTATTGAGCAAGAAAATTATGGCGTCACTGTCTTCTTTGTTTGTTTGTCTGTTTAAGGAAGAAATCAAAATTTTCTGGATTTTATTTTGCTGCAATTTTCTTGTTGGGTATGATCTTGAGTACGACCTTCGGCCCTAGGCCATACTCAAGACCCAAGGCACAGGTTTTTCACGAACAAACCTCCCACCCAGTAAAAACACTCAGGTAGCCTTACGCTTAGTATTCTGCCCAACAAAAGTTTCAATTGGCTTACGTACCTACGATATGCATTCCATTTTTATGAGATAACGTGTAGTGCTTGACGAGAGAATTATTGAGTCTATTGAAACAAGCAAAGCTAAAATAAGAGTTTGAAATAAATCAAATGCAAAAGAACATCTGAGCACCTTCAGATCAATACATCACTGGTAATGTTACGACCAACTTTGGGGATTTGGCTCTAGAACACTCGCTCAAGCAAGAGGGACCGAGACTCTTCTTCTGGTATTTCCTCGTTACTCAGCTAACTAAAATCAAGTCTACCACACCTCCTTTAAAAGTACTATATTAGTGAACATGTTTGGGTTATAGGCCTGTCGTTCTTGGAGGATTAATATTCTCTGCAAAATTACTAATCCAAATATTTGCACAAGGTTGGTAGAAGTGAAAAACAAAGCACTTACTTGCGTTATCAAAAGTCGATCATTGGAAACAAAAAACCCAAACAGCAACTAGGTTGTTGGTCGAGATCAAGGCCTCGAGGCAAACCCAAACAAGATCACCACTAGCAAAACCCAATTAGGAACTTTGTTGTTCCTGCTGTTGACCACTATTATACCAAATATGTTTGATTAATTTGATAAAGGTATACAATTTCAAAGCTAAACACCTGGGCATACCAAACTAATCAGGAGACGTAACGTGGGGCTCCTGAACAACTAATCTAATGGAGTTCTGATGTGGTTAGCTAAGCCCCTTGCACAATCTTTGCAGATCCGGAGAATGGGTTAAATCCAGGTTGTTCATTTAGGCAGGTGGATTAAACACCTTTCGAATATTCTTCCAAACTCCTTCGTGTACTAAGTGACACAAAGTTCATAATTGCAGAAACTCAGTAACGTTCATAACTAACCATATCTTCAGCGATTTACAGGTACAATCAATCATAAGGATGTGCTGTAACTTTGATTTCCTTTATAGGCGAAAACTACTGAAGGAATACAAGATAAGGATACCTTAACGAAAGTACGTGTCTTCCAGGTAAAGTGTTGCTTTTTCGAACAAAATAAGTGCCATAAGAAGCCTTAGACAAGAGAATGTCAGCTTCAGATCGTGTCATGTCACTATGAAATCTAGAAAGAAGTGTTAAATTTAGTTATATCCAATCGTCAGTTCTCTAGCTCAGCACAAAGTATAGATAATAAAGGCGGGAATTAGCCACTCTGATAGAAAGCAAAATATTTTCTGTGATAAACCTTTTAAGGTAAAAGATCCTGGGAACTACTTCTAATTTGAAGCATTATAATTGCAACAATATTGTTTAAGTTTGTTGTAAATCGGAACGATAAGCCAAAAATACATCTTAGGGCTTTCTTATGAAATATCTCACGTAATATCAATTTTCTGTGTAATGGCAACCAATATTTTGAAATGTATTCTTAAACCAAAAACATTTTGAAACGCAATCTTAAACCAAGGGAGATTACCATTTAGTAATTTAAGATTATTACGTGGGGTCGAAAGAGACGACAGTAACTATGATTCGAGAATGTTCTCTTTTACTGATGTCTCCACAAAACAAAACAACTCACTCTCTTTGTTTGTATTGAGAAGGCCTATCAGGATACTGTGGAGTAAAAATATGATTTTAGCTTCTCCAGAAAGTCATCAAAAAAGTAAATTAACTAACATTACTTGTACCGCTAAGGCAACTTGAAGTATTATATTAACTACTAGTGTCAGATATCTTTTCCAAGAACGCACCACAAAATTTTCAGCCAAGGCATGCACTCGGAACTTTCGATTAGGAATGCAAGACAAAAACCACAAGGCCACCCCATCTTCTACTTTATAAATGACAAATGAGTGTCAACAAATACAAAAGAAGAGATATTCTGAATACTTTGAGTCCAAATCCCTTTCATTGTCTCGGTTTGGCATTTGAAATTGAAAGAGAAACATGGAAAATAGAACATATCCCTGTGTGGGTTAACTTGAAAGTGTATCATGATTCCTTAAGTGCACCATTCTTTGACATGTCAAAATTAGTTATGTTAAATAAGAGTCCATGTGACTTTTTTCTTGAAAAAGAGGATCTATTGATTTCGTGAAAGACAAAGTATTAGTCGTGGTGAAATAGGACAAAAGGCAATTCTTGTATGAGCATGAGCATGAGATCATAAACTAGACGCACAAGAAGCGTTCACTCGGGCTTCTTTTATAGCCACGGCATTCACATCAAACACAAGTACAATTATAACATAGCTTGTACATTCGTGCAATCAAATTCAATTGTGCGAGCGTGCTTCAAATTTCCATTGTGCACGAAAACAATTTTTTCTCGCGAGTGACTTCAGCATTTTTCATTTAAAAAAACGGGAAAAAAACTTCCGCAAAAAAGTTAAACTAGACATGGCCACAAGCGAACAAGCCGATGAAGATCTCCCTACTTTTTCTTTGGGAATGGATTTTTTAACTCGAGAAGGGATTGCCTTGAGATCACTGGCGTTTCGATTATCAGTCCGGATAACCCCAAGCTGCTTGTCAAAGAAATTGGCACGTTAATTGCTGCAGAGATCGATGACAGTAATATTGCAGCTGTTCACAGGCTTCCTGATTCAAGGAATGTCAAAAATCGTATAATTGTCAAATTTCTCCAAAGGAAACTAAAATTTTTTTAATGGTTTCTGGGATTTTCCGAGGTTAAAATATCTTTAAAACCGACGTTTCGACCAGTTTTACTAGTCTTCCTCAGGTTGTTTAAATGTTGTCAATATGGCGGATTGTTTCGTCTTTCAGCTTGGTGACCGCCGCATGACGTTTCGTGATTATTACACGACGTTTAAACGATGTCAGATTGTGCGGGAAATGTAGTCTGAGGTCTGTCAAGTACTTCTTCTTTTGCGATAATTCACTGTCTATTACAGTCTTTTTTCATGATCAAAGGAGTTTAGGACTGGTTTCCATGTTTCAACGTGGTCAAAATTGTTAAGGACTCTCATTCCGCGATGTTTCTACCGTAGTGATTCAATTCCTTCTAGAATTTTTCTTTGCTTTATTCCTCTCTCTGTTGCTACGATCTCTGCGTTTCCCCAGTCAACACCACTTTGGCACTCCACGGTTTGTCGTGCCAGGCCTCCATCTTCTTTAACCATCCGTTTTTCGGCCGATAGAGTGTTTCCTTTTTGAAGGTCCTCATTTGTTGTCTCACCTTGTCCATGTGTTCTTTCTTTCTTGTTTGGAAAAGGCGCCATGTTTCTCCTACTTACACAGTATTCTGGCAGTTGCAAGGAATCCTATACACAACACATTTTTGCTTTTCACCAAGCGGTTCTCGACATGTTTGTTTAACCTCTTTTACCTTTCTTCGAGGCTTGAAAGCAACTCGAAAAGAGTGTCGGTCAGCAGTTCTTCTGAACTGCTCAGATAACCCTTTCAAATATGGTATGGTCACGACTCCACGACTAAACAATCCGCCATATTGACAACATTTAAACAACCTGAGGAAGGGGTTTGCTAAAAACAAGCCCGCGGCCCACGGCCCAGTAGCCTGGCAGTCCGAAGGCCCAGCGGCCCACAACGGCCTGCGACCCGTTTTTTGTCCAGCAGTAAATTCACGCGCATGCACAGATCTGCATCGGGTTTGGGCGTGCAAAATGGACGACAGTGAGTTTGATATCGTTGACCATTTAATCATTTGAATCCTTGTTTCTGTTTGTTGCATGTTGTTCAGATAAAAACGTTTTGATTCTCTGTTCATTAATCTCTTTACAGAAACCTCTAGTACAATAGAGGACTTTCATTATCGAACGATGAAAGTTATTTGAAAGTGAAAATATCATAAGTGATACGATAAGACCTATACAGACTCGCGGATGATTGTGAGTATGGTTTACTCAAAAATGAACTTATTCGTGATAGAATAATTGTCGGAGTGTTAGACGATGCACTTTCTGATCGACTTCAATCCAAATTGAGGCTAACATTAGAAGAAGCAGTTCAAATTAGTCGACAGGCTGAAGCCAGACAATAGGGTAGAGAAGTTGTACGGGGGAGTACACAGACTAGCACAAACTCCGTAAACATGGTCAAGCGTGCAAGCCACAATAATAAGCAAGAACACCCCGGGAAAAAACAACCCCCTCAGAGTATCAACAAGTGTTCCTGGTGTGGTAACCAGCCACACCAAGACCGGAGACAATGCCCGGCTAAGAATGCCACCTGCTTAAAATGCAAGAAGTGGGGCCATTTTTAAGCCGTTTGACGGAGCCAAAACAGCAAGCAGTCACAACAAAAGAAAAAAGTACATGAAACTGAAGAGGAAAATCCAGACATTCCCTTTCTAGGAGAAATCCAAGGGGAGAAAACAGCTGGATCGTTCAAGTGGGGATAAATGAAAACGTCACTCGCTGCAAGCTAGACACTGGCGCATCTGTATCCGTTGTCAGAGACTCATTACCCTGGTTAAAAAATCAGCCTTTGGAGAATGTCCAGCAAACACTCATGGGGCCTGGGGGGACCCGCCTACCTGGTACTGGATCATTCCTAGCCACGAATAAGTACAGACAATGCAAGATCCAAGAACGAGTTTACGTCATTAATAACCAGTCATCTTCGCTCCTCAGCAGACGAGCCTGTGTCGATTTGGGTCCTGTCCAACGTCTCGACGCAGATGTTGAAGAACTGAGTACGCAAGTACCAAACTTTAGATCGGAATTCCCAAAGTTGTTCACCGGACTAGAGAAAATGACAACGGAATATCGTATGGCTCTTAAGCCTGATTCCCAGCCAGTGTGCCTGTACACACCAAGAAGAGTTCCCCACCCATTACTCCCTAAAGTAAAGGAGGAATTAGAGAGGATGATTCAAGGTGTCGTCTCCCCACAGGGGGCCGACACAAGCGGCGTGTCTGGTCGTTTGTTCGAAGTATAAAGAAATGTATGGGAGAATATTGAAGAGTTGTAATATCGTAAACTTATATCAAGGAATGTCCATGTTAAGGCTCAAAATAAATGTAAACCTACCTCTCTTTCTGTCTATTGTCATTTCTGTGGTTCTAAGTGGCGAATTTGAGCGATTTGGTAGATTTTGCGAGTGTTAATTTACTGTAGAAGAAGGAGACAAGGGTGTAAAGCTCATTTTCGACCGCTCCAGCGCGAAGCCGATTTTCACCCAGAAATTAGAATCGCCCGGCTTCCAAATCGAACACCAGATAAACCAGAAGGTTGACGCTTCTTCTCGTGCCATTCAATCGAAGATCCATTTCAAATCCAAGCGCTAACCGCCAAAAAACGTTCGAGAAATGCAGCTTTCCAACCGATCGGCATCCGCGGCACAGATTTGGTGTGCCAGGGAGCAACCGTCACGCTGTTTCCTCCACGCTGATTGGATGATGGTAAACAATGCCCTGTTTCAAATACCTCATGTGAGAGGGGAGTCAGGGGCATATTCGCGCCGGCGATTCATCTACTGACTAGCCTGGTGTGAGGTTTATGGCGCGTGAGAAGATGAATCGCCGGCGCGAATATGCCCCTGACTCCGCTCCCATGAGGCATTTGAAACAGGGCATTGTTTATCATCATCCAATCAGCGTGGAGCAAACAGCGTGACGGTTGCTCCCTGGTACACSAAATCTGTGCCGCGGATGCCGATCGCTTGGAAAGCTGCATTTCTCGAAAGTTTTTGGGCGGTTAGCACTTGGATTTTGAATGGATCTTCGATTGAATGACACGAGAAGAAGCGTCAACCTTTTCGTTTATCTGGTGTTCGATTTGAAAGCCGGGCGATTCTAATTTCTGGGTGAAAATCGGCTTCGCGCTGGAGCGGTCGAAAATGAGCTTTCCACCCTTGTCTCTTTCTTGTAAAGTAAAGTAACAGTCAACGCAAAATCTACCAAATCGCTCAAATTCGGCACTTAGAACCACAGAAACGACAATAGACAGCAAGTGAGGTAGGTTTACATTTATTTTGAGCCTTAACATGGACATTCCTTCATATAAGTTTACGATATTACGACTCTTCAATATTCTCCCATTCATTTCTTTATATTTCGAACAAACGACCAGACACGCCGCTTGACTGGGCCCCCTGTGGTCTTCCCAGTTACAGAGCCGACCGAATGGTGCTCCGTGATAGTCCCAGTCCTCAAGCCAAACGGAAAAGTTCACATCTGCGTAGACCTAGTCCAACTCAACAAAAGTGTTAAGAGAGAGATCCGCCATCTTGATTAAAAAAGACCTGTCGTTGAGAGAGAGGTCCATCCAATGTATTCCGTAGATGAAAGCCTAGCAAAGCTGAGTAAAAGTAGAGTCTTTAGCAAACTCGACGCTAACAGCGGGTTTTGGCAACTCCCTCTCGATAAGGAGTCTCGCCTACTTACAACCTTCATCACGCCGTACGGTCGTGAGTGTTTTAATCGTCTTCCCTTTGGGATCACCTCAGCACCGGAAGTCTTCCAGCGCACCATGACTGGGGGACCTCAAAGGAGTCGTATGCCATATTGATAACACCCTCGTACACGCGGCAACACAAGTGGAGCATGACGAACGGCTGAGAACTATCCTTAAGCTGCTACAGGAAGCCGGAGTGAAGTTCTACGAGAAATGTGAGTTTTCTAAGCGTTCTGTAAAATTCTTGGGACATAATATCGAAGAACAAGGTATCCGTCCAGACCCGGCCAAAGCTGAAGCTATACGCAATTTCCCAGTCCACATAAAGTTAACGACCTCCAACGCTTCATGGGAATGGTCAATCAAATGGCAAAGTTTATACCAAACCTGGCCAATCTCAACGAACCACTACGACAACTCCTAAAAAAAGGGAACATGTGGAAATGGGATAAAGCCCAACAACAGTCATGTGAAGGAATCAAGAATGAACTGACATCTGCAACAAACCTTGCCCACTACGACCCAAGTCGTCCTGCAGTCATCTCAAGCGATGCCTCTAACATTGGACTTGAGGCTGTTCTTCTACAGCTCCAAGAGGACGGTACCAGGAAGCCGGTGTACTATGCATCTAGATCCCTCTCAGAAACTGAGAAAAGGTACGCAGTTATTGAGAAAGAGGCCCTGGCCGTGACATGGGCTTGTGACAAGTTTTCGGACTACGTACTCGGAATGAAGTTTACAGTGGAAACCGACCACAAGCCGTTGGCACCTCTTTTCAATTCAACTGATCTCTCCAAAATGCCACCACGCATCTTAAGATTCAGAATGCGTCTCATGAAGTACGAACTCAACGTCGTATATGTACCCGGCAAGGAACAAATTACCCCAGACACTTTGTCAGGTGCTCCTATCAAGAAGAATGTAAATAAGAACATAGATCTTGTGGAGGAAGTGGAAAGCTTCACACAACAGATCGTAGCAAGGCTTCCGGCAACGCCTATGCGGCTGCAAGATATCAGTGAGGCCCAAGACCAGGATGAAGTATGCAGGATGATTAAGAAGTGCTGCCTAGAAGGATGCCCGTCTTATATGCCAAATTCTACCATACTAGTCCTTATTGGGAAAATAAGAAACACTTAACTGTGATAAAAAAGATTCTACTATATGATGATCGTATTATGATTCCAGCAGGAATGAGGCTGGAGATACTTGACCTCTTACATCAAGGACACCTTGGGATAACAAAGACGCAAGCACGAGGCAAGATGTCTGTGTGGTGGCTGGCGAATACTACAGCGATAACAGACATGGTGACGAAATGTTTTACGTGCGCTAAGAACAGACCAGTGCCCAAGGAGCCCCTGATGCCGTCGTTATTCCCATCCAGGCCATGGGAAAGACTATCCGCTGATCTCTTCGATCTAAAAGGAAAGAAACATCTCATCGTAGTCGACTACTACTCAAGGTGGACTGAAGTTAAAGCACTTCCAAGTGAATTGTCCCAGTCAGTAATCAAAGCCCTGAAAGAAATATTTTCAACTCATGGAATTCCAGACTTACTGGTGTCCGATAACGGCCCACAGTTTGCTTGTTAGTCCTTCCAACTGTTTGCAAGTAACTACGGGTTCACTCATATTACTAGCTCGCCAACGTACGCAAGAGGAAAAGGCGAAGTAGAGAGAGCGGTACGTACTGTCAAGGATATCCTGAAAAAGAACGATGATCCCTATCTCGGTCTTCTAGCATACCGAACAGCACCTCTTCACAATGGCCTGGCGCCATGCGAACTTCTGATGAACCGCTAACTCCGCACCCAGTTACCAACCTTCCCTGACAATCTACAACCAAACCTACGACTGAAAGACCTGGCAAAACTAGATGCAAAAAAGGACCTTTACCGTAGCAACCAGAAAAGCAACCATGACCGCAGATACAAGGCAAACGACCTACCAGAACTTCAGAGCGGAGAGAAAGTTTGGATTCGCGATCAAGATCGAATGGCAAGAGTCCTAGCGGCATCCTTATCACCACGATCCTACATACTGGAATCAGACAAGGGAACACAGCTTCGAAGGAACAGGGCAACCTTAGTTTCAGCAGATACCTGTACAAAGACATTCGACACCCAACCAGAAGCTAATTTTGAGAAAGAAATGCTGAGGAAATAATCAAAAGGCCCGCTAGCAAAGACCTGACCACAGCTGCGACCAAGCCTACTGAGAGCTGCTACAAAGCTGAACCAAACACCCCCGAAAGTGCAGATGACGCGCTCAGGGAGAGTAGTGAAACCGCCACAGAGACCTATTAAGGACACTTGAACGTTGAATATTTGAACATTGCTTTTGTTTACAGTAGACCCTTGTACTGTTTGATATGTCGTTTATAATTGTTTGTTTGATTACTGTAAAAGCTTTAAGGGGAGGTGTAGTATGTGTACGTATGTCACTTGACTAGCACATGGAGAGAGATCCGCCATCTTGATTAAAAAAGACCTATCGTTCTGTTGACATTTATATTTGTCTCGTCCTACTTCTTCCTATAATATTATAACTCGAGCCTTGGAGATACATAACCACAACACCAGATTTCCCTCTAGATTAAATCTTCATAAGCCAAAAGCAAATAATAACTATGGGATCTCTACTTCTGCTTTTGTTTCATCTAAACTTTGGGAAACTATTCCAACAAACAATAAAAGACTGCCATATACTTCCTTCTTCAACCAATATAAATTACACCTGTTAAACACTCAAGCTTCTGTATAATCTGTACATAGTTTATCTATGGAACTTTATTCTATTTTCTTTTTTTTTTCTTTGATCCCTATTGTAATTGACTGATCTGTCGTGTCAATTATTTGTACGTGTCAGTTACCAACACGAAAGGCTATGTTACTTTGGTCACTGAGCACATTTTATCTTGGCTGCGTATTGTAATATTTTTTTTCTCTTTAATTAATGGAAATTTTTCTTTTTGTAAACACTGTTGATGTTATAAATTTTGTAAATAGTGCATAACAATAAACTGTAAACTCTAAACTGAAAAACCCCCGAGAAAGAACCCAGAGAAAGGGAAAACCCAACTGGCCCAAATGGCCCAAATGACCCAAATGACCCAACTGGCCCAAATGATCCGATTGGCCCAATAAACCCTTCAAGCATTTATTATTCATCAAACTATCCAGCTTTCACGCTATCATTCGATCGGCCGATGTCACGCAATTTTCGCTAACCGGCACGCCAAGACATATTTTGGTTACCGGCACACCAGGACGTATTTTCGTTAACCGGTACACCAGGACTTAACCCTTCTGTCAGTATCCTTATCCAATTCGCTGTTGTTAGCGCCACCTTCGAAGTTGTGTTCACGAACATTCTTGATTTTTCAGCAAGTGAGGTGTTCGTCTCAGCATCATAGTTTGTTGTTAAATCGGCCGTCACAGTTTTGCCAGTATTTTCATTGTTTGAACTCACATATGGCTCATTTGTTATCTCGTGAGAACTCTTATGAACGTTCCACATTTGGCTAGTTTTCAAGCAATGAGGTTCGTGGACCGGCCCATTCCGAAAACACTCGACATCATTTAGCGTGGGCCTACCAGGAACGGCGTGTGCGTTTGCATGTGGGAGGAGCTTATAAGACAGGAATCTTTGCTAGGCGGTCTTCACAAACACAGCATTCTGTATATTACGTAGTTTACGAAGAGCGAGCTAACGATAACACAAGTTGTCGCACTCTCATCACCAGTTTCCGCGGTTTACGTAAGGAACGCCTGGAACCATGACCCCCCTTATGGCGATCAAAACGGCTTGCATTTTCAGCAATTATCAAAACTGAGTCTTCCTTATCTGCCGAGGGCTGAGGCAGATAACATAGACACGAGGTCTGATAACTCATGATATCATGCGGAAACCGAATTCAAGAATTGTTTTACTATTCATTTTGTTAAAAAAAAAAACTGCAAGGAGACACTTCTCTCTGACTTTGGAAACGTTTGGAGCAAACTAGGCACGCCCTGATATATTGGGTTATCATGTCAACTGCACATACTATTGTATATTGATTGAATAATTTTGACCAATCAGATTTTTCATGGCAAGTCTAATGTATTACAGTACTTATTAGACTTAATGTTAATGTTAACATTAACAAAATTTTCATCTGCATTGAGACTAGTGCCGTAACAAAATACCTCTTTTTCACAAGGAATAACAGTCGCTAGTGGTGCTTTTTCCTTTATTTCTTTTTCTGAAAGGAAGAAAAAAGTCAGCTAGACATCAGAAGAAAACTTACGTCTGAATGCTTTGTAACAGTATTTCACAGTGTGCGTGCTTTCAAACCACGGTCTATTCTAACTCAGAATACAAATTTTCTGGCAAAATCCATCCAAATACCACCGCCGCCCCGCCCCCCCTATCAAAAAAAAAAAAGGGAAAAAGGAATGAAAACAAAAGAATACAAAAATCATACAAACCAAACAAAACAAAGGAAGATAAAAAAACAGGTTGAAGTCGATATTCAGCAACCCCCCCGAAACAGATAAGGGCACTCTATAAAATTTGAAGGACTCACCTAACGGCGCCCAAAGATCATCTACTTCTTTATTGTACGGATCAAAATGTGCCTCTGTTCGGGATATAAAAAGAAGTAAGATATCAAAACTTCACAGCTATGTCCATCGTCAAGAAAAATTATCAATTTTTGCAATTGGGCCCGAACGTTCAAGACTTAAAAAAAAATCTTCAATCAAGCTGAAGCTTTGAGGTTTCACTCTTTCCTTCTTCAGCTGAAAACATTGGTCACCATCTTGAGGTAATTTTTTCACTGTTTTTACAAGTACAAACGAGGCCTCTAAAGTGGGCTAAATTCGACCATCGAAAGACGCTAATTATGCGTAAATTGAGTTTTATCAATTTCTCGAAAAGAAAAGAACTTTTCAACAAACTACATATGCCTTGCTTTGTTTTACCTATAGGCCTACCTAATATTAGAATATGAGCCAATTCGATTTTTTGACTATTGCCGGTGAATGTTTAATTTTTTGTGACCTCTCTTAATCGTGCCGCGTAAGCGATTTTTTAAAATTAAAATTTAAGAATGAAAATTCTTGTCTCTCGGTTGATTTTCGCGTATCTATTTGGCTGCCATATGGCTGAATTTTACATATACTTGGCAGCTGATTCACCATTTTTGAGTTTTTTCAGATTTCATTTCATTTGACCTTTCTTTTTGTCACGCAATTATTTAATATGTGCTATTTAATTTTGCTCCTTAGTCAGAATTTGAAGAGCGGTTAAACTTATATTACTTCCTGGCACAGAGGCTCAATTTTCAGCATCCATTTGCCTATCATTCTCGGATATTTTTATAGTTTTTTGGTCATCAATGTATCTAACTTTTAAATAAACGTCGTCTTAAAACCTTATCTTAGGTCTGTTGTTATCACGCGTGTTGTTTACTTTTGGCTCCAAGTTTTAGTGTTCTGGCTAACGCTTTTAAAATCAAGAATCAACTCGTCATTTAAGGGTACTTCACGCGCCATTGGAAGGAGCTGGAAAAGTTAAGCGACAATTTTTTTTCGCTTAACGAAATAAGCGTATTTTTTGGAGTATTTCTGTGCAAAATGTTTTTTTATTTGCTCAAATCTTCAATTTTCTGTGCCCAGTCAAAATACGGAAAATCGGCCGCCATCTTGCCCCACGACCGAGTTTAAAGAGAAATGGCTCTAGCGGGTAATGTGACGTCAAATCGAGAACACGAAAGTCTGCATTTCACACATTTTCACTTGTTTGGAAAGGTTGTAGTCGATATTGTCCGAAAATATGCCGACTAAGTGTGTTGTAGAAGGAT